ATTGCACCCTGCCTCTGGGGGGTAGCCTGCTGCTGTGGTGGGAATAATGTCCACCTGCCCTGTCAGCACTGAGCTCCTGGCCCCAGCTCCCTGATCAGGGGTAGGGGACATAGGAAAGAGCTGCAGAAAAGGGGCATGTCCCAGCCCCCTCCCCAAATCCACCAGTGGGACAGCTAGCAGTTAGCAGCAATCTCTCTGCTAGCCAGCCCACCAGTGGATTGAAGCAGGAGGTCAGTTCCTACCCCACACCTACAGTTCTTTGCAAGCCCCATGCCTCAATCACCTGATTGGAGTATGAAGCTGGGACCTGCCCCTAACTGGGACAGTTCCCAGCCTCTGCTCCATGATCATGGGGTGGGGGCTAGGGAGCTTGTTCCCCGCTCAGCTCTGTGAGCATGGAGCTGGGAGGGGAACAGGCTGGGGAGTCTGTTCCCTGCTCATTTCTGTGTTTCCAGGGGAAACTGGAAGATTGTGGGCTCAGCTGTTCAACAATTAAGTGGATGGGAAACTGGCTACACAGTAGGACCCAGAGAGTTCTTATGAACGAATCTGTGTCAACCCGGCGCAAAGTGGCCAGTGCTGTCCATCAGGGGTCCGTGCTTGGACTGATGCTTTTCAACAACTTTATCAATGATTTGGATGGGAGAATGAAAAGCTCACTGGCCAAGTTCGCAGATGACACCAAGTTATGAGGCAGTGTGGTCACGTCAGAAGGTAAGTTGCAGATACAGGCAGACCTAGACAGATTTGAGAGTTGGGCAGACTGGAACCAAATGAAATTTAACACTTCCAAGTGTAAGGTGCTTCATCTGGGGCCAAATAACTCTGAACATACATACAGGCTCGGTGGTGACAGCTTGACTTGCACCACAGCCGAAAGGGACCTAGGGATAATAATTGACCATTGTGCGAATATGAGCCATCAGTGCAAGGCGGTGGTCAGCAGGGCAAATAACATGCTGGCATGCATCAACCGATGCATCTTGTGTAAAACTAAGGAAGTGATACTCCCACTGTACTCAGCACTGGTGAGACCACAGTTGGAGTACTTTGTCCAGTTCTGGGTGCCATACTTCAATAAGGACATGGAAAAGCTTGAGAGGGTCCAGAGAAGAGTCACCCAGATGATCAGGGACTTGCAAGGCAAGCCATACAAGGAAAGGCTGAGGGACCTAGGCCTCTTTAGCCTAAAGAAGAGAAGGTTGAGAGGGGACTTGATAGCGGTGTACCACTATATCAGAGGAGTGCATCAGGATCTCGGTGACCAACTGTTCACTAGGGCACCCCCAGGGAAGACCAGGACCAATGGATACAAATTCCTGGAAGGCCACTTCAGGCTTAATACCAGGAAAAACTCCTTCACAGTCAGGGTGTCCAGACTGTGGAATAAACTCCCTGCAGAGGTGGTGCAGGCATCTACCCTGCGGGTTTTCAAGAGGAGACTAGACAGTCACCTCACTGGGGTCACCTAACCCCAGTTGTCTTCCTGCCTATAGCGGGGGGGTGGACCCGATGATCTGCAAGGTCCCTTCCAGCCCCTAACAATCTATGAATCTATGAACCCTGCTCCCTGCTGGCCAGCTGACCATGATCAGATTTGCTCCTAGTCAAGCATCTACATGAGTGCTACTGCGCAGTAACTAGTCACAAGGAAATTTGCTACTTGCATTTGCAGGTAACAGATTTTCTCACAATTAGTGAGGTTTACTGCACAGTAAGTATGTGCATGCGTAGATGCACATGCTTGTGGGACACATCTATACGTTCATTTGGTCAGGGCTCAGTTTACTCGGTGTAAACTTCTGTGGATTAAGCACTCCCAGGCAGGCGCCTACACATGCAGGGACTAGGGAACAGATTTGCTGCTCTTAGCAGCAAAATTCCTGCAGCCCTGCAATGGGCCCCTGCTGCCAGTGGGGGAAGCTCCAGCTGCAGCTGCCAGCAGCCAGCATCCCTCTTTAAAAGCCAACCCTGCTCACTGCTCCCTGGCTAGCCACTTCCCTGCCCAGGAGCAGCATGTCCAGCACAGAGATAACACGTGGCAGCTCTCTCCTTGCCTACTCTGCATCCCTGTGCTATGACTACTCCAGCACCTGCCCCTGGCAGTGATGATCAGTGGCCAAGAATCCTGCTGGCTGCCATGCTGGCCCTGCTGGCCCGCCGCACCAACCACCACCTGGCCCATGGCTGTTTGGGCCCACCTAGCTCCCTCACATGCAGTGACCATCTGCCTGGCTACAGGGTGCTGTCCCAGGCCCACCACTGTGCAGCTCCAGCTGGCAGGGACACCAATGAAGGGCTTCTGGATGCCATCACTGGGGCCACCATACACTCCTGGGCCTCCAGCCCTGCTGCCTGTGGGCCTGCCAGGCCAGCCAGGATGGATGATGACACATCATCCAACACACCTGGGATAATGAGCAGTGGCTGGAAGCTTTCTGCATGACCCAGGCTCAGGCTTCTGGGACCTCATGGAGTTACTCTGGCCACACTTGAAGTAGCAGGACAAGAGCATGGCGTAGGTAAGGCCACCACCAGGAAGGCCATCCTGGAGGTGTGTGGCACCTTCCAGGACATGCTGGGGCCCACCATGCTCTGCATGCATCACCCCCAGGCAGTGGTGGCAGGGTTCCCTGCCCTGGGCTTCCTCCAGTGCATCAGGGCCCTGGATGGGACCCACATCCCCATCATCTGCCTGGCCCATGGACACCACCCCTATTACAGCAGAAGGGGCTTTTACTCTGTGGTACTCCTGCAGGCTCAGGGAAGGCTGCTTGGAGTGTGCTGCAGGCAGGTGGAACTCATCCTACTGGCCAGAAGCTTTCTGCAGCTGGACTTGGGGGCTGAGAGGCCTGGCTGGAGTCTGCAGCTGCTTGCAGCACCTTGCTGGCCTGGTTAACATAGTCCTGGCAGCTGTGAGCACTGCAGTGCCAGGCTGTAGTGCTCAGGTTCAGACAGGATGGCATAGCTAAGCTGTGGCCTGCCCATGGGGACACAGGGGCCTCAAGTACCCTCAGGCTCCTTGCATGTGTGCCCCAGGGCTCAAAATGCCTGTAAACTTTTACATCCTGAGGCAGGGGACTGCCACAGAGGCAGCCCAGCCCTGGGGCAGGAGAGGCTCCTATCCTGGAGCCCTGGGGCCAGCCTGAGGCCAGCCTCCTAGTGGCAGGGTAGACTTGAGAGCAAACTTGCTCCTGGGTCACATCTACATATTTGTTACTGTGCAGTACCTAATCCTGTGTAAATTTGCTACCTGTGCACAATTAAGGGGTTTTATGCACGGATTTATGCACGATTATGGGTTTTTACTGCTCAGTAGGCATGTAGATGCTCACACTTACTGCACAGTAAACTAGGCTACTCCACATTTAGGCATCTCATGTAGACACGCCCACTGCTTAGTAAACTATGCTACTACACAGTAAACATCTTATGTAGATGCTCCCAGAAAAGACAAATTAAGAGGACAGAAACAGTCAAAAAATGACTTTCATCTGATCACTTGATCTTAGCAGAACTTTTACCTCCTGGTCATCAAAGCCACAACTTCATAAATACTTTGTGCAGAGGTAGAAGAGTCACACAAACACTGAAGAAAATTCTAAATACGAGTAGCAACATAAGTTCTGTACAAGTGGTATAGATACTGAGTTTATGGTTCCTTAATTTCATGGTCTAATCCAGTGGTTTTCAACTTGTTGTCTGGGGATCCCTGGGGGTCTGCAAACTATGTTTAAGGGGTCCATGAAAGATGACTATGATCAATCAAAAGTGTGTGAATACCAACACTTACAATTCAAATGGGTTCACACCTCCATTTGAAATTTCCAGCAGGGTCTGCACCTCCATTCACAATGTTTTAGGGGTCTGCAAATTAAAAAAGGTTAAAACCCATTGGTCTAATCTATGTCTAACCTGCATAAATTAGAGCTGCCAGAGGTAGCTTTTACTCATGCCTTCTGACTAGGACCCCAAGGTACCAGATGCCTACGAACAAAGCCAAAGTACCACAATATCCTTTCTGTGTCTAAAAATGATATACTTTTATGTCCACCTATAATAGCTATATTTTGACATCCAAAGTGATTGGATATAATCCTGTCTCTGTTAAATCAGTGGCTAATATCCTTTGACTTGAATGGAGACAGTATGTTGAATATAGTTTTCACTATCAAAATGTGAAAGATATTGCTAAAGTGCTGTTGGAAAAAGGTGAAGATCTGTTATGGAGTGACAGCTCAAAGAGTGTACAATTTAATTACCATATAGCAAATGGAATGAATTAGACAAATTCATCTTCTGGATATTCAAGAGTTTCATATGTTGGAAAAAGCCCTACTGTGGCCTGATCCTACAAATGTTTTTATAATTCAATGCTATCTGTTACTTAAGAATATCATAAGACATGCTCAGTTCTCTCATGATGACTTCCCTGGGCATGTTATGAGAAACAAAGTTCTTCCATTGCCAAAATCTGTATTAAAATTTAACATGAGTGCTATGAAGATTTCTTTTGTAAGTGTTATTGCCTTCATGGATAGTGCATTATAGGTACCTTGAATAAAGAGATATAAGGAGGAGAATTTCCAAGGGTGTTGGATGGCTCACTTCCATTATGCTTTTGAAACTATTCCCCAATGATTAATTTCAAGTTGGCACAGGAATTGTTGAGATATGATATATGATGTGATATGATATGGTACTATAAGTGACTGTGCTTTACAATATATATTAATTGTGTGAAAATAAATATGATGTAACTCAGTATTAATTTTTCAACCTTTTTTGGACCAACTAACAAAATTCTTTGCAATAAAGGTATGTTCATTTATGTCTTGACTGAACATATCGACTTCTACCTTTCATTTACTTCAACTTGGTTTGGTCTGCTGTACAGTACAGTACCCATAATTATTAGTTAAGTTTAGCGGAGAGATCAAATAATGTTACGTTCTACTTTATGCAATATTTTCTCTGAACTATTCTCTTTTCCCTTGCAGGACTGTTCTGTTTACACTGACCTCTGTAGTTGTGCTTGTCATCACTACTGACTGGATCAGCTGGGACAAGTTGAATCGTGGATTTCTGCCAAGTGATGAGGTCTCAAGAGCCTTCTTGGCTTCTTTCATCTTAGTGTTTGACCTTCTTATTGTCATGCAGGTACACTGCCCTAATGTTTCATTCAGGCTCCTGGAGCTGTCTAGTCACCGTGTTTCCATTAGAGCAAACACTGTTCAGCTCAGACCTCATAAAGTTAAATAAATGTTTAGTTTGCAATCACTATTAATAGAGGTATTTTACATCAACATTCTCAGGGACTTTGAAAAATCCAGTTGGCCTTTTGTTGTGAAAACATTGTTGATTTGTTTTGCTTAGGCTGCCAGGTAAGAACTTGGTGACTTTCCAAATGGGAAGGCATTTTTCTGCCAAAACTTCACTGAAAATAGAAAAGGAAGCTAGTCATTTTGTAAATGAAAAGCCTCCATTATGAGGATGAGAGAAACTCAACAAAGCAAAGAAAAAGATTGCTAGTCAGTGCAAAGGTTTACAACATTTGAAAAGTACACAATACGAGAATGTATTTTTAGTGATGCAAATTAATATTTTTCAGTATTCAATCTTTCCACTTTCAGGTAAACAGTATTTTACCCTATTTGCTGTACTGTTATATTTTCCACCAGTTAGTGCAACAAGGGAGATAATTTTCTGTAATCCTTCCAGAGTCTGCTCTTTTGAATTTGGCAGTTAAGAAAGCAGTTGTGGACACAGTAGATATAAGCCCAAACACCTCCCTTATGTGGCATTATGCCCTGCAAGTGGCATCTGTCTCCTGCTTGAGTTTTGTCCTAGTGGTTTCTAAAGGCAATTCTGATGCTATGTCAAGAGAAGGTGGTAGCAGATTACTTTGGCTTAAAAAAGTACATGATAAAAGAGGAATATCAGAGGTCTGGATGACTAATAGTATTTACCTAGAGTCACGTCATTGAATTGAGGCTTATTGAGGAAGCTCAAAGTGCCCAAAATAACAGGGTGTGTTCTCTCATCTTTGGACAGTCTATTGTATTTTTGTTTACAGTCACCAGATTGTGATAGCTGAGGTTCTTCATTCTCTTTAATAAGGTACTAGCTTTTTTGTGGCCATGTCTACAGAGATGCTGCATCTCTATAGCAATGAGCTTCAGCGACGTAGCTTGTTGCTACAGCAACATAGCATTGGCAGGCATGAACTGTGACACCAATGCCACTGCGCAGTAGCAACGAGCTGTAGTCAAAAACAACCCATGCACCACCAGGACTGTGCAGAAACAGCAGTTACTGCACAGACATGTTCCCAGCTGCAATAACAACTATGCAGTTGGGAGCATGTCTAGACATACCCTGTAAATAGTAACAGATGTCTGCTGCCTGATTACCATAGAGGTAATACTGTTGTGTCAATTAGCTTTTATCAATACTGCAATGGAATATCAGAAAAGTATACATTTCTATGGATTGGCTTCATCTCATGGTATCCATAGTATATCAGTGTATTTGTTGAACCATAATTTACAAAAAAAATGGATTAAATGTTTAATGAGATTTGGATTGTGCTTCCTTTTCTCCCACTCTGTATTTTACATATAATTTGGTCTTTTAAAACAATTCAGGAGACTGTATTAAGCAGGTGTCCTTTGTAACTATAATGAGAGCATGAATTGAAATGTACCGTATCTTATAATTATCTGATACTGCATTGAATACCGTATGCCAGAATACATTATATGTTGATACCAAAATCATTATCAAACCATCCACCTGATTTTTAAAAAATGAAGTCACCATACTTTGACATAGGGCTGTTAAGTTTAGAGGAGTGAAGACCTATCCTGATTATTATTTCATATTTTTACAACATAAAACAAGACCCCCACCATTGCATTTTGAATGGTGTTTGAAGGGAAGATTTGTTTATTTACTTATTGAAGGATGTTCATTCAAAATGTGCAACTTAGGGCATAGGCACCCATAAAACTTAGAGCAGTTTAAATGTAGTTTAAATTTAAAGCAGACAAACATGCAAATCTTCCTGGAACAGTTCAAATGTGTACCTGAGATATCAAGTACTGTTTTGAACCAGTTCAATGTGAATCTGGTCAGTGTTGTGTGGTTACCAAGAATTATGTGACACAGGCCTGATCCATCTTCTAGGCATCCCACACTGCATCACTCCTCATCCTTCAGCTTGGTGAGTCATGTTTAGGAGAAAAGGGAAAGAAGAAAAGTAAAATGCCCTGATCTGCAGGACATGCATCCCTTGGAACCCCCAAAACATGGGTGCAAACACTGCTCCCTGCACACACTCACTGAGAGGCATGCTGGGCTAGGTGTTCACACCCACCCCCTGGTACCAGAGTCATGGCACTTCACACAATATGAATAGGTCTCCAGTAAATGACAGTTGGAAATAGTGCAATTGTTCTGTGCAGACAACCCCTTGGTGATATATTGTGTATTGTGTGGTTCTAGTGCTAGTGTATTGTCAGTTCAATACAATCAGGTTGACAGAGCTGACTGTTAAATTACAAGCAGAAATAAGTGTCAAAATAAAAATTCTTTGTCTATACTGGAAGGAGGCAAGCATGTTTCATAAATTCTTTTTAATAGTAGTGCCTGTTTCACAAAATTTTTGCAAGCTTTTCAAACAGACTAGCAAAGTAAGAAAAAAACAGTATTGCATTAAAAGCTCTAATTCCTGTAGGAGGATAATGTTAATTAAGTACATAGATGAAATTTCATTTAACTTTCTGGTTAAATACTGTACAGACATTTTTCCTACATTTTAATGGTAGCATTACTACTGTAAATGTGACTAAGTTTAGCAACAGGAGAAAATCAATTGAGTTTGAACCCATTCTCAATGCTGTGAAAAATAATTACATTAATGTAAAGCACGAACTAGCCTACTTAATATTTTTTGGAATTTAATATTTATTCAAGCCCCATGTAGAACAAGGCACTTCAGAAACAAATAAAGGAGTGAGAGGATCCTGCCGTGAAGATCTAACACTTTAAAATAGAAATAACACAGCAAGGGATGCAATAAACAAAGAGCGGAGGTAGAAATATGGGAGACCAAAGGTTGCACAGTGAGAGTTCATGAGTTATTGTTTTGTGCACTTCTTTTTACTTTCTCTTCTCCCCTGCTTTAAGTAGCAATAGCCCACGCAGACTCAGAAAGCTAGGACAGTATTCCAACCCCAACCCCAATCCCTGCCTGTATCTATTAAGTGTAAAGAATGTGCTTGCAGTATGAGTGAGGGACTGCACATCCAGGAGAAGAAATGAGAGAGAGAGAATTAGGGTATATATAAGCATTACGTGTAGACCATCCTAACTGAGTTTAGGGGTAATCTAAATGCATGCAATTATTCCCAGGGTTTAAATCACCCTAAAAATGGCACACCAGATCTAAAGTTAGTTCACTTCAAAGGTGAATTAACTTTAAATCTGCCTGGATTAACCCAATGTAAAATGGGTTAACCCGGCTTAACAACATCTGCATGCATTCACAGTACAGCCCTGGGCCTGAGAAAGCTCAGCCATGCACCACGGCCCTGGGACTGTGCTGTTTTAACACCCTGACTTTGACTGGATCTTTTTTGACCCCCTACCAGCCCCTCCCCCCAGACCTGCCAGAGCCCTCCCAGACCCACAAGCACCGCCCCCCCCAGGACATGTCAGCCCTCTGCCCCCCTAATCCCATCAGCCCCTCCACACCAACTTAGGTCTGGCTGCCCATGCAACTGCCTGCAAGTGGCAGAACCCAACTAAAGTTTAGGTGGCTCAAAGAAAGCCATGTGGGTTGGGTCATTTGACAGTTGTTTAGACCCAAGTCACTAGCATTGAAATGAAAGCCCTGGAAACAGATTGTAGGTCAGGCTGTAGGGATGCACTTTTGGATGGATAACATGTTGGACTGCTGCTCAGGAGTCCCTATTCTCTCAAACTGCCACTGATTTGTTTTGTGATCTTCTGTGATTCATTCTCTCTTCTGCGCCTCAGATTGCTCGTGTAAAATGTGGGTGAGGAGATATAGAGCCAGATCCAGAAAAGGCACAAGTGGAATTTAGGTGCCCAGGTCTAAAACTATGATCATCTCAGCTGCCACCTGACATTAAACTCATGGCAAAAAAGGGCCAGAGGTAACTGCCTCAGAGCAAACCATGAGCAAGCTAACAGCTGTCCTCAGAAGAAATTACTTTCTCCCAGGAAGAAATTACTCTGGATTGGGACTTTAGCAGTTTCCCATGTTCAAGAGTATTTACTTCCATTCAGTGAGTTCAATCATGTGGTCACCACTTCTTTTCCCCGTGGAATACTGTCTTTTCCTGAGATAGTCTGGTTATGTATACATGATTAATCAAAATGTGACCCTAAGAATTTGTCATACTTTCTCCGCACTCAAGGTAATCAAACTGGTCATGCTTCTGACATGTATAATACTTCTAGAGCCCACATTAGTGTGTACGTAGGCAGCATCATATCTCTGTCCTTTACTGGATTGTTTATGAGGTAACACAGATCAAAGGTGGAGAAATATTAAGGATATTTTCATGTACCACAATGTACCCTGTCTTTATTATTTTAATGATGATTTAACTGTTACAATTTTGGATTTTCCTTCCCAATGGATGTTCATGGAAAAGTAGTTAAAAGAATCATAAATAAAAGGGGGCTATGACCTCTAGCTGCTCTATTTGACAAGTTTGATTTGAAGAGTATATTACCTTACCACAGGTAAGATAATTTTTTATATGTTAGCATTTCAAGCAAATTTGCTAATGGCTAGAAGCCAATGGTTGCTAGATTATTAAATTCTGTCATTCCAGCTGTGATGAAGTGTTGGATCCCTGTAGTGTCTTTTGTGAAAGATTATGGAGCCTCTCAGTATCTCTATAGGGTTACATCCTGTAGTTGCCTTTCTGAGTGCTTTGCAAAGCTCAAGGTATAAATTCCTATACTTGCTACAAGTTACAGCAACTTTTTACTTGACAACACAACAAGATACAATGATTTAAAGGGCACTTAAGAATATTGCAACATTTAGTCATTTGTTTTTGATAGGTGAATTTATTTTTTTGGTAAACTTCAAAGTAGTAGATTGGGATAGAGAGAAACCT